CGACGACTACTCCTACTACTACTGGTACTACTACTGCTACTACTGCTACTACTGCTACTCCTGCTACTCTTACTACTACTACTACGACGACGACGACCACTACTACTACTACTACTACTACTACTACTACTACTACTACTGCTACTACTACTACTACTGCTACTACTACTACTACTACTACTACTACTACTACTACTACTACTACTACTACTACTACTACTACTACTACTACTACTACTACTACTACTACTACTTGTTGTTGTTGCATCTTCTATTGCTACCGCCGCGGGGCTACGGCCTCAGATGCGACGACAAGTACGACATCGGCTCCAACCATTCTATGCTCTGTCCAAATGAGACTGCGAAGCAACGGCAATAACGACGACCAGCATCTGACTGTTATCAAACTGGAACTTGCAACTTGTAAGGCAACTTCCTGGACTTGTGCTGAGGACGGTGCCCTTGCAAGAAGTCCAGAGACGCGTGTGCAAGCGCCTGACTCAGTCAGTGACTGGCAATGCCCGCCAGCGGACTTAGTTGGTGCCACCGAACTGGATTCGTGCCAGTGAAGAAAGTCTCTGAAAAATACAAGGTGCATGCACATACTCGTTTCACCGCATGTGTTTGTATGTGTACATATATTTGTGTATACACACACACATATATATATATATATGTACATATTGTAGTATTGTACCTGTACACGCGTCCATATACCTGCACATTTTAAGCCTATTTCTATATCTGTATATGTATGTGTATATATATATATATATATATATATATATATATATATATATTGCATGGTATGGTCTACCCCCGAACGCGTAACCCTAAACCTCGACCCAACTATACGTGGTCTACGTCGTTAGCCATTATAATTAGTCTTTCACTAAGCTCGATAAAGCGCCAAACAGCCAGCGCTGTCGCCTGAAGTAGTATAGACATAGTAACAAGGTGATGCCATCTACTTTTTCACGCCTCATGGCAGTTGCGAGTTTCAGATTCAGGGCAACAGTTGCTTCAGTGCGCATCTCTGACCCTGACCTAGAACAACCCTCCAAGCATTTTCCAGATCCAAGCTACATAAACCTAGCGGTCACAACCTTAAAACCCTGAAGCCTGTCCGTCGAATATAGGAGTACTCGTAGTTAGCATACGAATTTGGGGTCTAAACTCTAAACAGGTAGAGGTAGAGTTATACTAGGGACCTGTCAGGAATAGTGTATCAAGTTGTTCAGGTGCAACCTTACTAGGATACCCAGTAACCTAAGAATAAAAAGGCCTCTCTTTTTGGTATTGGGTAACTTTATAAGGAACCTAGGACTACAAAAAGGGAATAAGGATACTACTGGAGATCCTAGCTTAAGCACGACACCCTAAGCAGGAAAGCCCTGAGCCCCCTCGCAGCCTTACGAAACCCGTAAGCAACACTTGTGAAACCCCAAAAGTGACCTGGGTAGTTGTCAAAATTAGGGCCCCTTTTTTGGGGCACCCTAAATAATAGGTGCCATATTATAATAAGGACCAAAAAAGGGACCATAATTTTGACAACCGGCCACCTTGTAAAGCCCTCACCAAGCTCCAACCAGAACCTGACTCCAAAATGAAATGCCTTGTTTGGGCTATCTCGCCTTCTTAATCATCTTAAGCCTAGCTGGTTATCAGAAAACGGTGCTACTTCCAGGTTCTAGGTAGCCTCGACTTCCTCGCGATGCTGGAATTGCAGGAGCGCCTTCGGGCAAGCATGAGGTTCCAAGAGTCTAATTATTGTTTAGAAGGCTTAGGGTTGCAGGCTGAAGAGGAGATGTGGCAAAGGGGTCTACGAGTCTAAGGTTTATGAGGATTACAAGGGGATGTAGCGGTGGGGTCTAAGAGTCTAAGGCCTACGAGAAAAAAGGGAGAAGTATTTCTGGTGGTTTCGGGTCGGGGGGCCTGGGTTGTATGTTGGAGGCGAATAGCTGGGCTTTGCAGTAACCAAGGAGAAGAAAGTATGCACCTTTATATCTCTAACGAACAATGAAAACATCAAAGTCTGGTACTCCAGAGCCCAGTTCTAGAACCCTTAACCCAAAACCCCAAACAGCTGAACCCTAAGCCCTTCATACTAAGCCGTAAAGCCGATAGGATAGAAGGGTTTTGGGTTTAGGGTTTTAGGGCTTACGCTTTAGGGTTTAGGGTTCGGGGGATCAGCATTTAGGCTTCGAGTGGAAGCTTCGAATGCATCGTTGGAGAGCGTTGGGGTTGATGAATGAGGACAGGTACGGCCCCCATACAGTAAGAGTCTATAATAGGGCTACTATTAAGGGCCTACTAAATCTAGATTATGAATATTATTCAACTATTACTGAGTGGGGGCCGTACCTAATGAATGACGACAGGTATATGTTGGGGACTGCCCTGATACAGTAACAGTCTTTCAGGGCTACTAAGTACGGGCGGGCCTTATATATGTAAACTACAAAACTTTCACGTATTCAACTGTAACTGAGTGGGTGCAGTATCCAAGGTACATTGCATGTAGCAGACACCAAGAACGGAACTCCAAGGTAGAACATCCCATTCAACCTTTGAGCCAAAAAACCCAACAACCATACCAGGTCCTACCAAGTAGTTCACTTCCGCAATATGTTGCAATTTCAGAAGCTTCACCCTGCGAATCCGCAAAACAATGCTGAATGCCGTCTTGGCCCTGGAGCTCCACTACAGGGCCCCAACTTGATAGAATTGTTCAGGCAACCTCGAGTATCCTGGTGTCGTTAAGGTCTCTACCAGTTCTTGACTGAAACTCTTCAGACTCGGAACGCCTCCAATGAGTCACTGGGGCCGCAGTCGCGGGCGATCACCTGCGTACCATAGGGGCCTCAAAAATAGACTACGGTTTTGGTTTTTTTCACAAGGTAGTTGTAAGGAATAAGAATAAGGCTTTGGGGTGGACTATACTATATAGTTATAAGAAGGAGCTCAAGAATAGAATTGGTAAATACTTAGGCCCCTATGTGAATCTCACATGTGGCAGCGATTCGTCGAGTCTTAAGCCCCAGGATGCCGAAACCGAGGCTGCTCTGCTCGCGCATGGTATGATTCCATAAAAATACTACCCCCCGCCCGGCGGAAACTTCAAACATAGGCAGAATAGTGGCAAACATCATTCAAAAGCTAGTATTCTACATACTTTTTGCATCCAGGTACCAGTCTTGATGGGTATCTTTGAGTCGTTTATGGTTTCAAGCATTCTGCTGCAGCAAGGACACTTCTGTTCCGGCACCATTTTTTCTCACTGAGCTTAAGTCAGGTGGTCCTGGCGGTGGTGGTGCACCGCTAATTGACTGTGACTCGTTTCAGCTGCCGCTGAACCCTTGAAGATATCACAGAGGACCTACCTGTAGTGTTGCTTCAGACCTTCGTCGAGGAGCTAGCCACCCCCTCAGTCCCGATGTTTATGCTCTTGTCTGGGCTCATCTTTCTGCTGCCCACATCGTGACAATTCCCACTATCATGCTGCCATTGTTCTATTGAAGATGCCACTGTGCTGTTGGAGGAGGAGGAGGAGGAGGACAGTCAACTCTTGACTTCTCTAGGTTGGGCCCTAAACCCCAAACCGCTAAACCCTATATACATCCTAAACCCTACACTGCCTTAAACCGTAAACCCTAAACCACCAAACCCTAAAATCTAAACCCTAAACTGCCTTAAAAGTATGTAAACCCTAGGTTGAGGAGTAGATTGTAACCTTGAGCTGAAGCCGAGCCATGTCTGCGCAACTGGGCCGGACGAGTCTCAGGGCCCCTCTCTGGTTGCTACCCTTAGGGTTTAGGGGTTTAGGGGTTTAGGGTTTAGGGGTTTAGGGGTTTAGGGGTTTAGGGGTTTAGGGGTTTAGGGGTTCGGGGGTTTAGGGGTTTAGGGGTTTAGGGGTTTAGAGTTTAGGGGTTCGGGGGTAAACCTACGCCCCTAAATCCACAACGCCAAACCTCCACCCCTTTAAACCATGGGTTTTCGGGAAGAGAATAGACCCGAGCAGAATACCAGTGCAGCAAGCAACGACATGCAACGACCTTCATCCATTGGAGTTCTGCCGTCGGGCCACGTTTTAGTGCTTGGCTTCGAATGCAGATGCCTTTAAGGCTCAGGGTTAAGGGGGCCAGGGTCCAGGGGCATCCAGTTTAGGACTTTAGCGGTATGTACGATGAGGGCTCTACAGCTGGGGTCTTGTTGAGTGATTTCAGGTACCGTTGTAAGGCAACCCTGCATGTTGCTTACTCTAGATCCCGTTCTGTTAAATGAAACTAGGATCCTAAACAAGAACCCTGAGAAGGGTATCACAACGGTTTGGGCTTTTAGGGTGCACGTGGCTCCCTTGCCGGGCGCCGTACCAAAGGAGATACGACGCTAACATAGTAGCCTTGATAAATGTACTGTGGTTCTGGGGAATATGGGAGTTTACAAAAATAGGGAACGCAAATATAGTACCCTAAATAGAAGGATCCTTATTATAAGGACCCCAAAATAAGGTACCTCTGATTTTCCCATATGACTATGTGGCTATGTTGAGGAACCTGAGGGAAAGTATTCTGAAGGATTCAGGCTATTGTAATGCCTGGAGGGCCGAAATCCGGGAGGCATTTCGGGGGTTGGGCTTACTCTCAATATTCTGGGGCGTCAGCCCCCCCCCCCCCCCCCCCAACAAATAGGCACTACACGCACATGGCCTAAACCCAAAAAGGGACACTTGCACTCCGACCGGCACTGCTTCATTAACGTTTCAGTTGAGCTGGAACTGCTCGCGGAGAGGTTTTAGGGTTCCTAAACCCTATAAACCTTAAGCCCTAAAGCCCCAAACCCAAGGGCCTTGAAGCGCCTGGGCTTCAAGGGTCCAGGGAGTTTGAGGGCTTTCTGGTTTAGGGCTTAGGCCCAAGTAGCCGGCAGCCACCCGGAACCCCGCAAGCAGCTCCGCCCCTCTCTGCATCCCACGTATTCGCGGGAGGCATCGAGCTAAGCTCTCAGGCAGGGCAGAAGCCTGCAAACAAGAGAGCAAGTAGAAATACAGGAACACCTAAACAAACAGTATGTCAATACATGAATAATGAAAAACGTACATATATGTATATACACACATGTATAAGTCAACAACAAAATAACAAAGCTTCGGGTTTATAACGTCAAGTGGAGGCTTTAGCGGCTTTTCAATTTTACGTCTGAAGCATTATGGTCCAAGATCCAGATTTTTCGCTTCCACTATTTATCTACAGCACGGATGAGAGGAGGCAACCTTCCTGTGACTGTTGACTGACACACACACAGACAACAATCAAACAATTCTGAAGACGACGACAAATTGCCACGATCCCGACCTTGCTGACAATTGACACTGCTACTGCTGCTGCTGCTGCTGCTATTCCGCCTTCGTCTACATGATCCTACTGCTGCTACTGCCACCCGCCACTTCTTCGTCGCGTGCTTTCAATACTCGCTTGTTGCTGCTGCGACTGCTACTGCGACGATTATTTAGTGCCAGAAACTAGATTGTTGCTACCTGGGTCGTCACCATTCCGTGGAGCAGCACTAATCCAAACCGTATGTCGTTATGTCGAGTATATCCACAGTACCCGGAACCCCCAACCTCAAAATTACACAACATACAAAATCCCTCAGATACCGTCAACTCACACTCCAAAGGCCCATGGACTCCAACATGCTTTTTCAAGGCCCTAAGCCCGGGGAAGACTTCAACTCGAATCCCCTGGAACCCCCAGGCCGAAGACCCTAAACCCTCGACAGCTTGCAGCAACTCTTGTAGAAGCCCTCCTAGGAACCCTCCTTGAACGCCTTTATAAGGAAGGAAGCCGTCCCAAACGATGCCTGTGAAGGACCAGCTGATCTCGGAGAAGCCACGGAGTGTCAAAAGGATCGCTGAGGCGAAGAGCCTCAGCTGCAAGAACCCTTACCCCTAAACCCTGAACCGGAGAAGGCAAGCTGGTGGCGGGATGTATGTTTTAAGGTTTACCCGAATCGTGAGAGTGACGGCTGGCTGAGATCGCAATCACCAGACCTCCAGTGCTTAAACTGAAAGAATTACAATGAACCAGCAATGCAATGGCACACAGACATATCGTAGAATGTCATGTCATAGCATGTCATCTCATACCAGGGCATAGTGTTGTCATACCAGAGCATATCAGATCATAACAGGCCGTGCCATACCATGTCTTATCATGTCATGTCATACCACTTCGTATCCTTTTTTATACTGCCTACCATATCGTAGCAGAACATATACATCATAGCACGTCGCATTGCTTCAACCAGAACCATATCACATATCATAACATGTCATAGAGTAGGTCGCGCCTTCGGCAAACTGAACATAAATAAATGCCAGCTTCTGCTTTCAGACTATAGTCACCAAGATGATTATCATATCATAATGTGCAACCAGAAGCTGAAATTTCAGCATCCTCATCAGCGTCACAACAGGCCCCACTCGCCCCGTCATGATCATCGTAACACCCCATGAATCCTAACCCGTGCGGGACCAACTTCTAAAATTGCAGCGCAAACCGGGCCAAGCAGCGCCAGTGCAACCAGAAAGATAATGATGTAGCTGTGCTCCTTGACATACTGCCTGGAAGGCTCAGTCGGGTTGCTTAGGAGGCTCAGTGTTCAGTGTGTGGCATTTGGGTGGAAATCCCAGGGATTTGACAGCAGCGCCCAGGGGCCAAAGGTACTAGAACAGGGGTTAGGGTAGTGTATCCATAATCAAGAACTCTGAAGAATGATGTTGGTAGCTATACTGACATATAGATTAACTTATCTGGCCGACAGGTGTCCGTCAGCATGTAGATGTCTGATCTATTTGGCATGCCATCCCTTTACAGTCCCTATATACTTCTATACCACACCTGCACCCCAAAGCCGTATTCTAATTAGCAAGGTCTCTAAATCAAAGATCCTTGTATAAACCTATAAGCAACCACGTAATGACTAACGTCCCTCCACTCAGAATTCTGTTGAGGTACCGAGTTTCTGATGTTCAGGGTTGCGGTTAAGGTTGCTTTTTGGCGACTCCTTTCTCTATCCAAAGCCAAGAAGGCCGAATTCTGACTGAGGCATAGCAGGAGGATCAGGCCCCGCATAGATAGTAAGCGCTTTACATTAAACTGAAACCCTACCCCTACTTTACATACAACCTTGCCCTCCGCTCAAGATCTGCTCAGCAAGACGCTTCACTCGCGGTGCTCTCGACGACCCCTCTGCTTCACAAGCTTGCAGCAGTCACAGCTGCAGAAGCCATTTTCCCGAACCATCGTTTGGGGTTTGGGGGCCGCAAGTTTGCCTTTCGGAACTCTCGGCTGCCGAGCATGCGCCTGGTGGAGTCCAAAAATTGAAATCCGTCCCCTGGCCCTCTTCGGCCCAGCGCTGCATTAACTCCAGCCCTGACATCTGCCCTTCCCTGCGCCATGGAGACTATAAACCCCTAAAGTAGAAGCCAGAAAGTTGGAATATCATTATCCTAACCCCTTTAAGGTAAACTATAGGATATCCTACCATGAAACCATATTCCAACTTTCTGGAGTTCCCTTTAGATTATCCTTAGCCCTAAACCCTAGACCCTGAACCCGCGCCCCTTTCTAACGGACCCTTAACAGGCAGGTCTTTTGGTGGCTGAAGCTATAGGGCTTGAACTCCAAATCTGAAATCCCAGCCCTGCCGAACTCGACATCCGGCACTTGGAGGATCATGAGACTTAGTAGTTGGGGTTATAGATAAGGTAACTATACTTATAATTACTTATAACCCCAGTTAGGTTAGTAATTGGGGTTATAGATAAGGTAACTATACTTATAAATACTTATAGCCCCAGTTAGGGTACTTGTAACCCTACGTACTAAGTCCCATGATCCTCCAAGCACCCTCAGCCCCATCTGGGGCGCCGGACGTGTTGCCGGCCAGCAAACCACAAAGTGAGCCAAACATCCTGGGGGCGTTTTCTTTTTTTTTTGAGCTCCTTTTGTCCGCCTAAGGTGCAATCCTGGGGGCGCTTTAGGGTTTCGGGTTTGGGGTGAGGAGTTGGTTTCAAGATGCTTGGGGGTGTACTGTAGAGGCCTGAATAATTAGAATAGAGTTCCGGGGTATCTATGCCACAACAAGTTTCATAAGCAACCCTCAAAATATGTTCAGCAATTGTATAGGCCCCTACATTACAGTAGTGCTTTAAGGCGACAAGGTGCAGGGTCTGGGGGGTCTTCCGGCTTCGATGACAATAACCCCACCTCCTCAACCACTTGTAGATCGTAGAACATAACCCCCCCCTCCAAAAAAAAACAAGCGTAGGTAGGGCTGAGCTGAACGTTTCGGGTTCGGGGTCACAGGTTGGGTTTAGGGCATGGGGCTTAGGGTTAGGAGGGTTGGACTGGACTTTGAAGTAACCGGTGGGAAAAAATATCGACTTTTTTGTCATAATGGTTCCTTTAAGGAACAGGTACCCCCAAAAAAGTATTCAAGTATGGTACTCCAGACCCAGGTGAAACATGGATTGGGCTCAGGAAGGCTCCGGAGACAGGCTCCGGAAGTCTGGGGTGTGAGGCTGTGGGCTTAATTTAGGGTTTAGGGGTTTAGGGTTTAGGGTTTTAGGGTTTAGGGTTTAGGGTTTTAGGGTTTTAAAACTTTGGGTCAAGGATTTTGGTTGCAGGGTGTGGAAATCAATGGGAAGGGCTTTGGCTGTGCATCATGGGCCGAGGTCAGCATACCTCTAGAGACAGCCATGTTTAGGGTTTAGGGTTTTGGGTTTAGGGGAGTCATGAACCATAATGTGGCAGTCGCTGACTGTAGGTCAACACAACAACACATTCATACGTTCAGGAAGCTTCCTGATTAAATCCTTAGTAACACGGCGGGTACCTCCACTGAGCAGCCTCCTTGTGGAGCAGTCAGACGAGGAGCCGTCACGATACACAACAACACGTGCTTTGCATCTAGAATTGGCTGCTGGCGGTAGAGCTGCTGATAGCAGTGGCAAATTGGTGGTTTCCGAAAATAGGGGGTGCCTTATATAGTACCCTAGATAGTAGGATCCCTATTATACGGATCCCAAATATAAGGTACCCCTAATTTTCGGAAACTCTAAACCCTAAACCCTTTATAGAACCCTTGTAGGAACCCTTATAGGAACCCCTTAAAGGATCCCAAAATAAGGTACCCCTAATTTTCGGAAACTCGCAAATGCCAGGGCTACGGGCTCCACGGTGATCTCAGTTTCCCGTTGCTACAGTGCCTGTGAAGAGCCTTGCATACTAAGGGAGCGACACAGTTTCAATATCCCTTAATTAGGGAATATATCTTAAATTATAGTAGGATTCTTAAAATATAATTTAAGGTGTATTCCTTAATTAAGCTACAAGCTCCGACCACAGGCTAGGAACGACCTAGGCTAGGACCCAATCCAGGCTCGGGCCTAGGTCAGGTCAGAAACAACTACCCTAAGGCTCCATAGTAGTTCTTTTTTGGGAGTACCCTATAGGATTCTAAATATGAACCCCAAAAAGGAACTACTATGGAGCTTCTGGGTAGCTGCTAGTACAGTTGAACAGTGCAAGTAATCGAGAACACAAACTTGGGTGCGAGCGCAAACAGGAAGCAGCCCACACCATACGCCATGAAGGGCTCAATGGTCCCCGCAAGGAGATAGTGAGCCACCTGGGCTTCACAGGATGCCATGACTGCCATGAGGGATATGTGGGAGTTTCCGAAAATAGGGGACCCTAATATGGTACCCTAAATAGTAGGATCCTTATTATAAGGACCCCAAAATAAGGTACCCCCCTATTTTCGGAAACTCCCCTTTGGAGGCTCGGCCCGGCGGTTCAAATACTGAACACTGTACAAAGTGTTCTGTCCAAGGCTCATTCGACGATGTGTTGAAGAAGATCAGAAAGCCTGGCAGGGCTCAGACCCACGGAGCGCGGGAAGAACGCCGAACAGAATATGAATCAGGATCTTCCATGAAACAGCAGATATACTATACAGTGTAGGATTCGCATAAATTGGTCCTCGCACCCTCCCAAAAGCCAAGGCCCCTGTGTTTCTGTAACCCCGACTGGCAAGGAACAGCCGGAACAATCTGGATTCTGAGACCCTCTCAGTTCCGGCATTATTGCGATCCTACAATTACCCGTCGAGTGTTTTTTTTTTTTTGTTTGTGTGTGTGTGTGGGTGTGCATGTGCAAATATGTGTACATATATATATATGTATATGTATCTGTTTATATATATATATATATATGAAAATATGTGTGTGTGTGTGTCTACGTGTGCATGATTGCGACGCCATGATTGCGACGCAGCCCTGAATCATGAAGTCGTCCGGAGCCGCGCGACGGAATATGCTACCCTGCTCAAAAACTTTAAAGAGCCTTTGCTAATGCCCGGAACAGGGTTTAGGGTTTATGACGGTTTTAACATAGTAAGGAGTGCTATGCAATAGTATTAGAATCATTAGACCACTATATTACTCTTACAAAAACCCTGATAGAAACCTGAACACTTGCATTGTCCGCCAAACCGACAGTGCGCCTGAAGTGGCCGCGGCCACGCGAGGATGTGTGCCGAACCTCGTATATGCAGTCGCAGAGGGCTCCTACGTCCTGTGGCCTTTTCAGGATTTTATGCAGGTTTAGTGAGAAAGGGTTTCATACGGGATATAGTTGTTTGTTAACGAAGGTCTTTGCGAGGAATTTTGATACTTGTTGCACACGGAAACTAAGAAGGTTCACTTGCTTTGTGAAACTGTGGAGCTTGCAGATCGGGGAGCCGCGTCACTTACGATTGTGAACCCGCAAGAGGGACTCGGGCTGAGGTTTCTGGTGGTAGTGGTAATCAGGTGGTATGCCAGGAACATGCAAATTCACAACAACAGCCAAGCTCAATGGCGGCGGCAACCAAAGGTCACAGGAAAACAGTATTCAGGATAACCTTTTATTTCTTTTCATATAGAACATGAACTCCGGCAGAATGAAGCATCGTCATGTCGATCCTGATGTCATGAACATGAAGGGGGAAAGGTGACGCCGGCGCTGCTGCTGCTGCTGCCGAGACGTGCCGGTGATAGACTGACACTGCAAAGGAACAGAAACACGGCTAGAACGGAACATTCAATGGTGAACTGGATGCTTTACGAGCAAAAACCAAGATATGTCTGCCAGATTTGCTCATCTCAGCCCAGCTGCTCCAACAGCAGCGGCACCAAGAACTCGCCTCCGGTGCACATCAACCCAGGTATAGATTTCCCAGACACTCACACCATACCTCAAGACCCCAGTCAAACGATCGAGATTCGTGCCCAATGGACCTTGTCCGTGAGCTTTGGTGCAACCAGGGGGAGTGGCGCTTAAGGTGATTCGCCTCGAGAGATTGAGAAAACCCTAAACCCTAAACCCTAAAAGTCTCCTAAACCCTAAAAGTCTCCTAAACCCTAAAAGTCTCCTGTGATTGTTGAGGCACCCACCAGAACTTGATGATAGGACTGACGGAAAAAAACACCTTTTCGAGAATAGAGGGCACCCTGTCAACACCTGCATCGAGTAATTATGTGATCTATACTGTCTATACTGTTCCGGTCCCCAAGTCTGGGTCTAGGTTCACCTGCGAGCTTCGAAAGCCCAGAAGCCCTTTGCGGAACGCAGAAGTAACAGTGCCACACACTCATGAGCATACAACTGTTGTTGCGGAAACAGCCTGCAACTGCATCGAAGGCAAGAGTTCAAACCACACCTAAGTGGAAGGCTCCTACCCTCCGTGTTCCCGATTCTGGCGGCATTCGCAGGGGAAAACGGTTTAGGGTTTAGGGTTTAGGGTTTGCACCATAAAATAACGTGACTTGCTGTGGCAGGTGAACTGCGCATCCTCAGGGAGCCAACCTCAAAAGTGGCACCATATAAGCAGGCACTCCCCTTCCCTCCGCTCCTCTCCCAAGGGTACAACAAAACCGTAAACCTCTGAGCCCCAAGAGTCTAAACCCCAAGCCCCAAACCCTTAACCCCAAACCCAAAAGTCTAAACAACTAAGCCCCAAATCCTAAACCCGAAGGTCTAAACCCTAAGCCTCAAACCCTAAACCCGAAACTCAAAGGTTTAAACCCTAAGCCCCAAACCCTAAACCCTATAAACTATAACCCCGTCATAGAACCCGTGTAGATCCCTTTAAAGGAACCTCTAACCCCCATCCTAAACCCTAAACCCTTAAAAACCCTAAACCCTAATCCCCCAAACCCTAAAGGCCCTAAACCCCCAAACCCTAACTCCCCGAAACCCCCAACCCTAAACCCTTAAAAACCCTAAACCCCGTAAACTATAACCTCGTCATATAGATCCCTTTAAAGGAACCTCTATGCCCCCTCCTAAACCCCAAACCCTTAACCATGAATCCTTAACCCTAAACCCTAAACCCTTAACCCTTAACCCCAAACCCTAAACCCTTAACCCTAAACCCTTAAGAACCCCAAACCCTTAAAAACCCTAAATCGCCTCCCCCAAGGCCGAGGAGTCCGGCGAGGAGGCCGACGGCAGTGGCCATCAAAGGCATGGCCATCACTGCGCCCCTGAGCCCAGGGAGCTTGGGGCTGCTACGGTTGATGATATAAATCCTGAAATTACCTTAAGGACCCTAAACTATGGGAATTATGGTATAGTCCTTATTGTGGGTAATGCAGGATTTATATCATCAAGCGTAGTACAAGGTACGGTATGGGGCTTAGGGTTTAGGGGTTTAGGGTTTGTGGGCTTGGGGGTTTAGGGGTTTCGGGTCTGGGGTTTAGGGGTTTGGGGGTTTAGGGCCTTTAGGGTTTGGGGGTTTAGGGTTTAGGGGCTGCTAGTACCACGTAATTAGGATTCAGACCCACCCCTTTTTGTGGTACCTAGTTCTTTAGTTAAGATCTGTTATTTCGAAAAGTAGGTAACGAAAAAAAGGGGTAAGGTATGAGCCTACTACAGGTACGGCGTAGGTTTCATGCTTTAACGGCTCAGGTGACGCAGTATACGGATGGCGGTGCTGCAGCTGAATGGGACGACGACGATGACGATAATGACATGATGATTATGTTGTTGATTTTGATGCTGCTGACGATGATCACGGTGATGGGGATGAACAGCATCGCGTTTGTAGTAGGAAAGGTGGCGACACTGTGGATTGGATGACAACGAAACCACGGAGAGTGCAGAGAGACAAGCTTGGCAGTTGGGCTCCAAGCAGACAGAGGGTCCTGAATTAGAACAGGGCTTGGAGGGTGGTAGGGACTAGAAGGCCCAAGGTATAGTGCCACGGTTTAGAGTTTAGGGTTTAGGGCTTAGGGTTTAGGGTTTATAGTGCCGACTCAATGTTCAGGGCTTTGACAGCGTTCAAACTTAAAGATTCTGGCTTTTCACTGACCATCAGTCACATCACAGATCTCCACAGCCTTTATACTCCGCAGCAAGCTGCAAGTCATGTGATTTAGATGTTGGGGTTGAGGACTTGTGGGGTTAAGGTTTGGGGCTCATTATAGGGGCCTTAATAACTAGAATAGGGTCTTGGGGTGGATTATACTATAGTTATAACAAGGAACTCCCAAAATAGTCTAGGTAGTTAATCAGGCCCCCACACATCACCGGGACAATGCGGAAAGGCCAGAAGTCCGTTTTGCGTGGCCAGCGTGGCGGGGTAGTTAATTTCCCGGAACAATATGCTACTGTAATGTTCTCGGCGGAGAGCCTTCGGGATCCTGTGTGAGGGGTCTAAGGGGGAAAAGGTGTGGCACTTCTGCGAAAGTTGAGTTGAAGGCAGCTTGGCGAACTTTCGTCCTGCGGTAGTAGTCGGGTCTAAACAGCGCCAAAAGGCCTTCCAATCGTCGGGTCGCCCTCGATGGTGCCATCGCCCCGCTGCAGGTGCCATTCGGCGAGCCGCCTCATGAACCTCGCAGCTTGCAGTTGGGTGGTTTACTGTTGAGGGGTTTAAGGGTTTAGGGTTTAGGGGTTGAGGAAGGTTTGAGGCTCACCGGTCTGTCGAATTGGGTAATGTTGGGGTTGGGGGCACGCACTTAATAACTAATTGTTTGGTGGCATGTTCACGAAGATCTGTGGAGAATGACAGTTTGGGCAGCATTAAGTAATTTCAACACAGCGCAGGCCAAAGCGCACCGCACATCCACCAGGCAAAAACCCGTGCCCCCCAGCCCCTCCACGTGACTTGCAATGCTGTGCTCGGAATCCTGAAACCCAGATGAACTGTCAATGCCAGGCAATCTAACCTGAACGGTAGACAGCACGGTGGAGCCTCACGAAAGAGGAACTTCTTCCATGCCACGGGTCGTTCACAAAACAAATAGCTCAACCCTTAAAGCACTGAAAAGCCGGGAATCATAAGCAACGGATACCAGGCGAGGGAAGACAAGGCTGATTCCGACCCAGCTGGAGCTTGTCCGGCAGTCGCGATGCAGTTGTGTTGCTATGCAACTTGGCAAAGAGAAACTGAACCTCTGAAGTCCAAGTCCAGACACGCTGGAACGGCACCGTCCCAGTGTCAACAGTGTCTTTCCGAGGAGGTCACCATCGAAAGGGTTAGATGCCGCCGAGCAACCCAACCCTTTTAACTTTTAATGATGCGCAACCTCCTTCTTCGGCTGAGCCAAGACGTGCTTGATGATGATGTTGATGATGCCCAAGACGAAAAGAATGAGCGACATCAACCAGATGGCTTCCGGCAAGGGCATCTGCTGCATCCTCTCCGTCTCGGAGTCCGCTGTGGCCACGGCGTCAACCACGGCAGAATTTCTACTCGTTCGCTCTTTCTCACAGAACTCCTGTGAGTTGGTGTCTGTGAACAGGTACCTAGCGCACATGTAAAATGCCCTCATGCAGACATCGGCTGGCAGTTTCTGGAAGCAATTTGCCGTCTGCTGGTCAAAACGAAAAGAGGGGCTGCACTGAATCTCAGATAGGTTGCCATTGGGGAAGTCGGAAATCTGTCCTTCCAAGTCTGCACAGCCTGTCGCAGACATGGAAGGACAGATGTCCAACTTCCGCAATGACAATCCATCTGCGACAGCTGATGCGGCAAGAAGGAACAGCAAAACCAGTCTTGCCATGACTACCTATAGTCTCCATTGTAGTTCCTTTTTTTGGTTAACCAGTTTTATGGTTAGGACCCTATAATAGAGATTTTGGTTAACCCAAAAAAGGAACTACAATGGAGACTATAGGTAGAATGTCGTCAAACAACACAGGCTAGACGCGCGCGCGTCTTTCACGATTTCACGTCCTTCAGCCAGAGTGGCAAGCGGGTTTCGGAACATGTCTCTTTTCCCTGTGCTTGGGAGCTTGGCACGTGGGACATGCCGGAGGGCGGTTATACTCTTCAGAACCTGCACATTGGATTGCTGCTGTGAGTCTATGTATCCCAAGATACTGCACGTCTGTGTAAAAAACACTATGCGCCGGTGTATGAAATTATCTAGATTGTGGGTCTTTGCCTGCACATTCGCAAACCCTCCCTCTCTCTCTCTCACACACGCACACATCCATCACCTTAGACATGTTTGCGTATGGTGTAGGTGCACAAACCAAACTATCAAGTTGAACCTGAAGCCTGAAACTGTAAAGCCCGAAAACCCTGTACTGTACCTATAGTCTCCATTGTAGTTCCTTTGGTTTTGGTTAAACCAAAGACAGGAACTACAATGGAGACTATAAAGGTAGTTCTGCATTGACCAGCTGATTGCAACCAGATGGCCGCACAGCGACGAGAACGGAGGCGCCAACGATGGGATAGAGTCCCAGCAAAGCGATCCAGTAGATTGTGCTACACCTGGAAGATGTGGCAACTTGATGCGTGTTTTCAAGCAGGGATTTAGGAAGTTTAGGGCTTAGGGATCCTGGAAGGGTTCAGGGTTGGAATTTCAAGATTTGGGGCTAAAGGGTTGAGGGTTTAGTAAGGGCTTGGGCTTTAGGGTTTAGGGTTTACGGGGGAAGCCGCGCACAAAACCCTAAGACCCTCTGAAGCCCTGAACTCAATCATTTTGCAGTGAAGCCAAGATCAATCAGGCAGCCTTTCGACGCCAGAGACGTCGGGGGCCATGACCAAATAGTCAGCGCAGAAGATAAAGTTAAAAGCGATCCTCATCTGCAGACAAGTCTGGGGTTCTGATTCTTACTCGCAGAAACACATCTGGTCGGGGTGCCTCAAATACGACCTGGATCCTTCAAAGACTATATATGCAGTGCTTGAGTGAATACTCGATCCACGCCGCAATGCGCAGAACTCAACTCGCGGACGCCCAAGCCTTTCACAATAGGCTTTGGGGATTACCTTATAGAATCCTCAAGATGAACCCTCAGAAGGAACTATATATTATGGGGCCACAGGGTAGGGCCCCAGTAAGACCCTGAGCCCGAGAGTCTACTCTTATCCTACTGCGACTGCAGCTGCGTCTGCAGCCTTGCGACTGCTCCTGCTGCTGCCTCTGCTACTGCTGCTGCCGCTGCTGGCACTGCGCTTACTGCTACTCCTACTCCTACTCCTACTGCTACTCCTACTCCTGCTGCTGCTTCTGCTGCTGCTGCCACTCCTGCTCCTACTACTGCTGCTCCTACTGCTCGTGCTGCTCCTGTTCCTCCTGCTCCTACTCCTGCTGCTGCTGCTGCTGCTGCTGCTCCTGTTCCTCCTACTGCTCCTCCTGCTCCTGCTTTTGCTCCGGCTATTGCTGGGGCTGCAGCGGCTACGGCTACTATTGCTGCACCAGTACAATTACTACAACTACTAATCCTACTACCACTAGTAACACGACTGCTACCAGTACCACCACCGTTCCGACGACTGGACTTTGGACTGCGGCCCTTGGGGTCGACGTCGGGTTGGATTTTCCACCACCAGTAGGCTCTCCGTTCTCGCAAAGACTCAAGTCACGAGGTTTTTGAAGGGGTTGCCTACGTGCTTAGCACTATCGGAACTGGGGCTGAATTCCGAGATGGTTGATGGACCATGAAGCTTCGAGTTGAAGCACAAGCGTCATGAACAGCACGGACTTCCAGGGGATGCGCATCGGGAGCTTGTGCAAAGGAGGCCTCGCAGCAGAGGGGATTCAGGCAAGTGTGCACAAAAACTCGACACTGTGGACGCTAAACGTCGTGATCATCAAGACATACCAAGTCCTTCGTGATGGTCCAAACTGGGGTAGGCAGGCATTGTAGCTACCATCATCAGTCCGCAAATCGACATTTAGAGGGCCATCATACCACCACCGGCAGTCATCTTCAGCATCATAACCCGTCACCATCACCATCGTCATCACCATCATGGTGATGATGACCATCTTCATCATCATCATCATCACCACCATGATGACCCACTGTCATCACGAATTCATCATTGCATCACGGTCGTCGGCCAGCATCAATAGGATCAACATCGTCATCATCATCACCATCATCATCCACATCACGAGTACTGTCGCTGCCACCGCTATCGCCATGATCGGCAGATCCACCGTCCACGCCATGATCACCGAGAGACTCATGTTGATGATGCTCCCTGCCGGTGGTGATGGCGATGATGGCGAAAAGTATGGTGATGAGCCAGGCAAACATTGAAAACCATGATCGTGCCCCCCCCCCCCCCAGAGCTGGGTTTTCTTGCGATTCACCAACACCGCCGCCATCATCACCATCGCTGTGACCAAGACCATGGTGACACAATCATGATGATGACGATGATGATGGTGACCGTGATGATGATGAGGATAACGACGATCAACGCCATCGCCATCATTATCGTCATCGTCATTGCCGTCGTCATCATCATCAGCTGCATCGCCAGAAAGCATATACAATATATACAGTATACACTCTACATATATATATGTATATGTATATATATATATATATATATATATATGTATGTATGTATGTGTGTGTGCGTATGTATGTATACTTCTTTATTTATAAGCGCGCACAAAACAAAGGGTTTGTAACAGCCGCAGAACGGCTTCCCGAGGTACTGGATAGATTGTTGCAGCTGGGCCGTCAGCCCTAAATCCAAAGCTCTAAAGGGAACTCCAGAAAGTTGAAACCGTGAGCCCTAAAAATCACAAATCCCCAAACCCTGAAATATCAATACTTCTGTTGATGATATAAAACCTGCATTACCTTGAGGACCCTAAACTATGGGAACTATGGTATATTCCTTATTATGGGTAATGCAGGATTTATATCATCAACTGTTGCACCGACCCCTTTTTAGGGTGACACTCCTTGCGTCTGTCTGAGGCCCAAGCTCTGGCGGCGAGAACGACGATTGGAGCCGGCCACCTCGATCTTTTTGCTTTTTTTGGCAGGGGATGGTTGCGTGGCTTAGGGTTTTTTAATGTTTTGGGGAAGTTTAGGCTGTGGGGCTTGGGATGCGTCATAATTGGAGCACGATCTTGGCTTGGAGTAGGTGGAGTATGCCGTTCAACAGGTGTTTGTGAAGAAAGAACGTGGAGGATGAAAGGGGCACATATTCCATGAAGACAGATTGCTGCTCCCCAAACCCTAAACCCTAAACCCTGCTGATGAAAGGGGTGTCTACTCCGTCCTCTTCACTTCGCCCCGGGCTCTTGTTGGGGTCGTTCTTGGCATGGTGCCGACTCTCGAGGTCAGGAGCTTCGTAGCAAACGACGTCGGGATGTCACGATCGTCATGATGTCGTATTATACCATTATACAGCTTCAGATATAGCACTGGCCGTGGTGACCAGTCTCTCTTGCCGGAGAAGAGTGAAACCCATAAGGTGCGGAGCTGGCTTTGGCTGGCATGCACAGATCCTTGAGTCATCATCATCGGACAAAGCAGGGATGACCTTGCTAAGGCTGCGACAAACACAAGGATAAACCTGCACATACTTGCAGGACCGTGTTTTCAGTCGGTCCAGCAATTGCACATGTTAGTTTCGATAGTGTCACCCCCTGCCACGATCATCGAAACAATGGGTCTGTTGATAGGAACCCAAAGACTCCAAAACCCCTCAGTTCAGGTCTGTACCTTAAGTCATATTATTGGGGTCCTCTGATAATTCAACTATATTCCTTAATTAAGGGGTTTTGGAGTCTCTGGATGGAACCTGGCAACCGTAAACTGCCAAAGCGCCCCACGGTCTCCGAAGGCCCTGAACCAAATCCTACGCACGAAGACTTACTGCAAACACTGAAAACCAAACAAACAAACCTAAAACCATAATTCAAACAACCAGAAACCCCTAAAACCATAATTCAAACATCCAGAAACCCCTAAAACCATAATTCAAACATCCAGAAACCCCTAAACAGAAGCCGGGAAGACCCTATGCGCCAGAAGCGTCTGAAGCATGTCGCATCCGAAACCTAAAAGGGTTGAAAAGGGGTATATAGGGTTTCATCGGGCCTTGGATTTGGGCTCTGGGGGTTTGGGGTGTTGGAGTCTTGTTTTGTATTTTGGTTTTTTGCTGTAAGATCCTGCAAACCAAGGACGACAAAACCTCCACAGGCACACCCCCGAAGCCCTCACAAGTGCTTCGAAGCAGCCGATCCGAGGACAGGCATTTCGGCCATGCAGCACGCTGTCCGAGCAAACGCTTTGCCTGAACTTTGGGGTTTGGGGTTTAGGGTTTAGGTTTTGATTTGGGGTTATAGGCTGTTGCTTCCCCATCTCGGTGTTTGTTTTGCATCTTGTTCTATCGTTTTGTGTACGACTACCATAAGCATGTACACTTTCATGCATGCGTAATTACATACGTACGTACATGCATACATACACACACACACACATTCAACATGAGCCCACAAAGTCTTTGACCCGTTGCCGGACGTACGCTTATGCCACTGTACATCCGTTTCCCTGCTACTTGGAAGGGCAGGGGACTTAGTAAGTAGGTTATAAGTAGAGTTATAAGTGCCCCTAAATAGAGTTACCCCAATTATAACCCTACTTATAACCTCCTTACTAAGTCCCTAAACCCTAAACCCCATAGATCCCCTTTGAGGAACCCTATAGATCCCTTTAAGGAGCCCACTTACTAAGTCCCTTGCCCTTCCAAGTAGGGTACTATCTGGGGCTTCAGGGTCGGTTGGTGTGGTGTCGGGAATAGCTGATGGTTGGAAGATTTCCGGTTTAGGGTTTAGGGTTTAGGGTTTAGCAGAATCCGAGTAACCTGACCACGAGCTAAGCCTAACAGCAAGCCCTACAACACAAACCTGTCAGCGCCTGAATATTTTGACGAGGGTTCAGCACTTCAGCACTACAATCATACAGTAGAAGCCAGAAAGTTGGAATATCATTATCCTAACCCCTTTAAGGTAAATTATAGCGGATCCTACCATTAATCCATATTCCAACTTTCTGAAGTTCCCTGTAGTTAGGAACACCAGCTAGGGCATCCCAGTAGTAATCACTCAGACCGGTTTAAGGCTCAGGGCTTCGCGAGTTTAGGTTCTTCACCCGAAACCCCAAAGCCCTGAAATCACCAGCTTGACAGGTCAAGGCCGCGAGCGTGGGTGCATGTCAAAGTTCAGAAATGTACGCTGGAGGCTGATCGAACCTTTCGGTTTCGGGTTGAGCGTTTGGGGTTTAGAGTTTGGGGTTTAGAGTGTAAGTTTAGAGGTTTAGGGTTTCGGGGTTTAGAGCTTGCGGTTTAGAGTTTAAGTTTAGGGTTTCGGGGTTGAGGGTTTGGGGTTTCGGCAGTTGAGGTGTTTCGGGCTTTGGGGCGTTGGGCTTTAATCAGAGCTTGGCGTGCATTTCAGGGTTCAGGGCTTTGGCAGGGTTCGGCCCGTCTGTACGGTTGCGGACTGCGCATTCTTTTCTTGTGGAAGAGCTCATGGTTTGGGCGTTGTGGCATTCAGAGGGCCACGGGCCAGAATCTGCAGGAAGTAAACTTAAGGTCTATGTCCATTTGTTAGTGGTTTGTGATTTCGAGTCTTTTGGGTGTGAAAAGCTGTGCGGTTGCCCGGTGTTTTCGGGGTCCTATTTAACAACAGGCAATGGACAACCTTGGTCGGAGTGGATCCTGCGGACCATTTGGGAGTTTCCGAAAATAGGGGACCCTAATACAGCACCCTAAATAGTAGGATCCTTATTGTAAGGACCCCCAAATAGGGTGCCCCTAGTAATCGGAAA